CTGGCGGCCATTTTGTTAAAGAATTCAGTTCTGGATCCGTATCCAAGACATGTCTGGATTGATCAAGTTCAAACTTCACACACACATGGTACATCATGTCACAAATAGATATGTGCATTTGTTCATGATCTGCTTAACAATAGCGGAATGATGGCCATTTTAAGGCCGAAAATGCATCAAAATCACGTATTCTCACAATTCCAGAACCGGATCTCAGTCATGCATGGATGGATTTTGTTCAGATTTAGCACAATGTGTTGTACATATGCAGGTGCATTTCGGTCATGATCTGCTTTGAATGTATATGTCACTCAAATATGAACGGAACGGGGACGTGTCATTGACAATGACTTGTCACATTGTAACATTATTTTGACTACACGACCACGAAGCTCTTGGATGCTAGCTCTGCATACAGTGCTGTGTGTGCGCGTTTGGTTGACAGATGACCCCACCACAGCCCGGCGTACCTCCATAGACTGTACGCAGGACTACCTAGATCCATGATACGATACAATATAGCACAACAATGAGAAACGATGCTTTTTTACATGAGGTAAATAATTTCCGCGTAACTACCACAGGGGCTTGTCGACTGAGCGCGAAAGCCCCTTGGCGAGAACGAAGTTCGAGAAGGGAGGACACTCTACCACCAGAGTGACGTCATAGCTTTACAATTATTCGAATTTAAACAGTAATCAATCATTTACCTTAGAAAAAACAACACAAAAACTGAATACAGTTAAGTGCTAATCTATTCAAACCACCATCACAATCAAATTCGGCAAATTAGCGACAAAATACACGTTTTCCCGAGTCTGAATGACTACCGCTGTACGTCAGTCATTGTTGGGTTGTTTCTAATTGGTTAATAAAGTGGGTGTGTGAAAGACTCCTTAACTCACTGTTGATTTTAAACAACATGGCAACTGTAGAGGAAAACATTGTGACCGCAGTAAATGAGGGCCACAACCTTCTTATTTTAGGCCAAGCAGGCACGGGCAAAACTAAATTGATAACAAGAATAAAGGTGTCAATTCTACATAAAAATGTACCGTTTGCTCACCAAGAAACCAATGGAAACTTGCCAGAATTCACCGACTCCATAGTGCTGGCAGCCATAGTACACGGAATTTTGAAATAAGCGGTCTTAGACACGCCCACATTATTAGCCAATCAAGACCAAGCATGCATTTGAGATGGCTGCGCCCGGCAATTGACATACAGCGGTAGTCATTCAGACTCGGGAAAACGTGTATTTTGTCGCTAATTTGCCGAATTTGGTCGTGATGGTGGTTTGAATAGATTAGCACTTAACTATATTCAGTTTTTGTGTTGTTTTTTCTAAGGTAAATGATTGATTACTGTTTAAATTCGAATAATTGTAATGCTATGACGTCACTCTGGTGGTAGAGTGTCCTCCCTTCTCGAACTTCGTTCTCGACAAGGGGCTTTCGCGCTCAGTCGACAAGCCCCTGTGGTGCAATATATCCGGTTAGAATCAAAGCTCACGTGTCCCTTATTTGAGGGACCAGATTCTGCCGTAAATTCGGGATGGGATTTAGAAAAAAATAAAATGGGACTTTTAGGGTGTATTTTGGCGTCATTTTCGGACATTTCAATCATTCCTGAATGATGCGTGAATTGAATGAACTATGACCCGTACAATCTCGATTTGCATATTGTCAATCAAAGGTCCTGTTATTTGGTTACTCATGCAAATTAGGCAATTGGACATAAACATTGCCACGTGCGAGTGTTTTTTATTTTTAACCAGAAAATAAACAGCAATTTTAACGGTGTTCCAATAAGAATTCATTGGTCAAATTTTCACAGAATGTTCTTTAGATAAAAATCTATATAAAAAACGAAAAAAACTATTTTTGATTGAAATTCACAAATAAACTGCATCTCTACCTTAA